CTCACCTCAGCCTCCCAAAGTGCTGGGATTACAGGCTGAGCCACCGAGCCCAGCCGGTTCTTAAATTTGAGTGGGCATCAGGTATCCCTAGAGGCCGGCATAAACATAGATTGTTGGGCCCCACATGCAGAGTATTTGAATCCATAGATGTAGGGTGAGGCGTTTCTGATAAGTTCCCACATGATGGTACTAGAGATCACACTCTGAGAACCACTAGTCTAGACCATAAGTACTAAAGGGATTCAGAGAAGTTAACTTTTTTCTAAACCGATTCCTAAAACATGGGCTCCTGTCTGTGTGGTTTCTCTTCTTCTGAACTAGGAAATCACAATCCTCAGGAAAGTGAAAGGTACCTCAGGGGTCCTGTCCTCTAGTGCTTAGAGAGGTCTTCCCTGGTCATGCCTTCTCTCATCAGACTATCTTGTTTGATTCTGAAATGATCTTGTTGAATTTGTTCATTTGCCCTATTGAGGGATAATTTACATATAATAAAATTCACAAATCCTAAGGATTCCATTCAATGAGTTTTGACAAATGACTATCCTGGGTAACCTATAACCCTACTAAAATCTAGAACATTCCATGAGCCCAGAAAACTTTCTTGTATCCTTTCCAGACAATTTCTAGTCCCCTCCTCAGCTCAGCAAACACTATTCTGTCTTCTGTCATCTTAGATGAGTTTTGCCTATTCTTGAATTTCTATAAATGGCATCAGAGAGTATGTACTTATTTAGGTCTGGCTAAATTCGAAGGGAACCAACTACGGATACATGCAACAACATAGATGAATCAATCCTACAGACAGTTATATTTAGGTCTTTTGAATTTATACTATGTACTGTCTTATTGTATAAATATACCATAATTTATGCATCCATTCACCTGTTGTTAGACATTGGTATTGTTTCAGATTTTTGGCTACTTGAATAAGTCTTTTGAATAAGGCTGCTGTGAACATCCTGTATAAATGTTTGTGTGGACAGATATATTAATTTCCCTTGAGTAAATACCTAATAATGGGATTGTGGGATTTCTAGATTATAGGGTAGATGTATGCTTATTAGAAACTTCCCAACAGTTCTGTAATGTTGTATCATTTTACACTCCTGCCAGGAGTGTAGGAGAGTTCCAGCTACGTTTCACCTTGCCAACATTTGGAACTGCCAGTTTTTTTATTTTAGCCATTCTAGTTGTTATGTAGTTATACCTTATTGTGGTTTTAATTTATATTTTCCTGATGACTAATGATTGTTACGTTGCTGTAATTCTTTGAAAGTAGTGACCTTGTCTATTTTCTTTTCTTTTTTTTTGAGCTGGAGTCTCACTCTGTCGCCCAGACTGGAGTGCAGTGGCACACTCCTGGTCACCGCAGACTCGATCTGCTGGGCTCCGGCGATCCTTCCACCTCAGCCTTCCAAGTAGCTGGAACTACAGGTGCACGCTACCAAGCCTGGTTAATTTTTTTGATTTATTGTAGAGATTAGGTCTTGCTAAGTTGCCCAGGTGGGTCTTGAACCTGCGGGCTCAGGCAATTCACTCACCTTGGCTTCCCAAAGCGAGGGGTTACAGGCTGAGCCACCGAGCCCGGCGACCTTGTCTATTTTCTTTACCAGTATATACCCATTGACACAACAAATATTATTTTTTTCTACAATGTGTGTTTGATGACAACACACGAGGAATGCCAACATCAATTTCCTATCAGCTTTGTAGACAAATTGTATAACCTTTATTCTAGGGATATACTTGCTAACTCTTTCTGAAAAGGGAACAACATGAGGCTATTTTGTGTCTAGAACCAGGGCATGAAATATCCAATCATAAATACAGTCACGGAAACTTGCCTGGTCAGAGAGACTGTATTAGGGCCACGTTATTGCTGGGACAGATTGGAAAGAATAGGTTGAAAAATGATCTAGAAATAGGAGTCAAGGCAGAAACTGAGCCAGGATGGTACAGGGTCACCACTAGGTAAAAGTCAGGAGCAGAAGCACAAGCTGTGCAGAGGGTCAAAACAAGAATGACTCAGCACTGTGCCAGCAGAGGGAAACATAGGCATGCAAATGAACCAGAACTCACAGGTTTGAAGTCCAAAGCTAGAAGCACTTGATGTACTAGAAAGAAACCTTAAAAGCAAGACAACACTGCAGGTGAGGAAGCAGTAAGGCTCACGGTGTCAAGCGTCTTTCAAATGTTCTTATCAAAGGGACTTCTGATCAAGATGGCAGCCTGAGGTAGTGTGAGAAGCTCCACCATCTCCAACTCCTCCTCCTCATAAACATAGATGTGCAAGACAAAATATTTTTGAGGCCGGACATGGTGGCTCAAGCCTGTAATCCCAGGACTTTGGGAGGCTGAGGTGAGAGGATTGCCTGAGCTCAGGGGTTCGAGACCAGCCTGGGCAACTTGGTGAGACTTTGTCTCTACAACATATCAAAAAATTAGCCCGACTTGGTAGCATGCACCTGTAGTTGCGGCTACTTGGAAGGCTGAGGCGGAAGGATTGCCTGAATCTAGCAGGTCGACGCTGGGGTGGCCGTGAGTGGTGACAGAGTGAAACTCTGACTCAAAAAAATATATTTTTGAAAGGCCAGGTGCGGTGACTCAACCTTGTAATCCCAGCACTTTGGGAGGCCAAGGCAAAAGGATTGCCTGAGTCCAGGGGTTCCAGGCCAGCCTGGACAACTTGGTGAGGCCTCGTCTCCACAATTAAAAAAATCAAAAAATTAACTGGGCATGATGGCGTGCACTTGTAATTTCAGCTACTTGGAAGGCTGAGGCAGAAGGAACGCTTGAGCCTAACAGGTCGAGGCCGTGATGGCAGTGAGCATGCCACTGCACTCCAGACTGGGTGACAGAGTGAGACTCTGACTAAAAAAATGTGTGTGTGTGTGTGTGTGTGTGTGTGTGTGTGTGTGTGTGTGTGTGTGTGTGTGTGTGTGAAGAGTCATATCAATACATTGTGGAGCTGAAAACAAGGAAGGACATTTTTCTAGATGCTAGACATGAGTAATGAATTAGGATTGAAGCCATGTGACCCTTTGGAGTAACTGAACCAGTCTATACTAGAGTTTTAACAGGCCTGAAGGGAAGAGGATTGGAGCTGCAGAAACACTACATAACAAGGGGGTAGAAAATGGACTCTAGTGAAGAAATCCCAAGCCCAGAAATTCGACTAAAAACTGGTTCACAATTGATAGATACCATACAATTCTGGCAGGAACAATTACAGAATTACATAATCAGCTCAGAGAAATGCCTCTACAGCCCACAGCACACACAGAACTTTGCGTAAGAGCACTGCTACAGAAGATGATATTTCAAAGCCTACAAAGAGAAATCCCACCCAAGTTATTTCAGACGGTAGGTCAGTATGAAAGGAATTACACAGTAGAATGGACAGAAAAGGGTAGGATCCATAAGGCTAGAACAATAGTAGATAGCTTTGAAAGACAACTAAATAAAAACACTAGAAATGGACAATATAACCATAGAAATTTTTAAAAATCCAAAAGCATATGATAACCTCTCATAACGTTTGATTCCATAAGTCTAGAAATTTATCCTAAGGAAATAACCTGAAATTCAAACAAAGATGTACAGTGCAGAGTCATTTATAATAAAAAAACTAGAAACAACCCAAATAGCCAATAAGGAGGCAGGGGTGAGAAAACCATGAGCTGGAAGTGAAAAAGTGAGAGTTTGGGGGTCACAGTGGCATGGGTTAGAATTATGGCGTGTCCACTATTAGCTCTGGGTCTTGGCAGATCATTTTCCAGGAACACCAACATCCACCTTCCGGGGGTGTCAAGAGGTCTAGAGGTCTAGAGATGGTGATGGTATGTTCCTGGTACATAGAAGAGCCCTCCTGAATTGTAGCAATTACTATGAAGACACCCACACAGTGGAATGTTATGATCATTAATGTGATGGTTATGAAGAATTTTGAGTGAACCGGGTATGAAAAAAACCCCCAAAAACCGACATAGAATACCAAATTACATGTGTGATATGATCTCATCTGAACCTCATGAAAGAATTGGTATAGATGAGGAGAATTCCCCTGGGGGTTATCATTAATTATCTCAGGATAGAGGAGTGATGGGTCATTGTTATCCCTCTCTACGATTTTCTGTTTCCCTAGTTTTGTTTTTGTTTTACAAAGAACGTATATCTCTTTGATAATTAAAAAGAAAAAAATTCATGCCAAAATGCAGTCACCGCCTAGCTCTCAGAGGCAGTCTTTTTTCATTCACCTTGTTGCCTTGGGAACCAACACCAGTCTTACTGACTGCTGGGGATACAGTTCAGCCGCTGGGTGAGTCCGACCTGGAGTGCCAGAGTTACCTGAAGTTATAGCCAGGATACAAGGATTCACTGGTGGTCTTGTCATCAAGGCGACGGAAACTGTATTTGGGACGACAGCGATGGAACCACCTGTCCAGGTTGCAGTCCCAGTAGATCTCAATACCCATGATTCCACCCTGAGGGCGTGAACAAGAGACAGTCTCTATGTCTGCAGGACGTGGATTACACAGCCACCCACTTCCCTGCAGGGCAAGGATCACCGAAGGAAAGATTTTCTTTTGAGAGGAAGAATGCTGACTAAAGGTTTCAGAGCTGTAAGTGCAGCCCTATTCAATTTGTACAAGCATTACCGTGGCAGCCGCAAAAGCATATCCAGGCTCTTCCTCCCATCTGGTACACACCGCCATTAGATGTATTGTCCTAATACATAACTCTAAACGAACCACTCTTGAATTCAAACACTTTAATGCCCTCCCCCCCATTAAAGATCAAATCAACACTCGTTAGAGTGAAATTCAGGGCACTCTGGCAAATATCTTTTCTGCTTTATCTCCCAGTACTCCCCCAGGGAAAGCTCTCTGCAGAGGCGATTAAATTAAGGACCTTGAGACAGAGATTATCCTGGATTATCCAGGCGGGCCTTAGATGTTCCCTTCTTGTAAATTCTCCCAGTTAAAAAGACAAGTGTCTTTATAAGAGAGAGGCAGAGGGAGATTTGACACAGAATAAGGCATCAGTGTGACCACTGAGGCAACATGCTACCCTGCAGATTTTGAAGATGGAAGAAGGGGTTGAACCAAGAAATGCAAGGACTACAGCTCAGAAGGAGAGATGGCAAGGGAATGGGTTCTCCCCCAGAGCTCCAGAGAAAGCATGGCCCTGCTGACGCCTTGACTTCTCTGCCCGGTTAAACTAATTATGGACTTCTGCCCTCCAGAAACATACAACACTATGTGTTGTTTTAAGCCACTAAGCTTGTGGTGATTTGTCACAACACCCACAGAACACACCAAGTAGCTCACTCATAGGGTTGTTACGGTCTTAGATGAGGTGATGTCAGTAAAGTCCCTGGCACGATGCATGGATTTATGAAATGCTCAATACACGAGAACCATATTATGAAGACCCAGTAGCCCGACCTCTTGGCTATTTGACAATCTCCATTCCCTAATACACCCCACACCCCACTGTACAAAGACACCACCAACCTGAATCGCCACATCTGAAAAATTATCTCCTGTTTCTCGGAAGATATCTCCTAGTCGAAAAATGGGACACTGGGGATTCTGAGTCTTGTGAAATGTACAAGAGACGTTGAAACCTGGCAAGATGTTTCTCCTGCACATAATTAAAAGCAAACAGACAAACAAACATTTCTATTGAAAATGGATCTGCCGGCTCGGTGGCTCAGCCTGTAATCTCGCGCTTTGGGAGGCTGAGGGGAGTGGATTACCTGAGCCCGCAGGTTCGAGACCCACCTGGGCAACTTAGGGAGACCTCATCTCTACAATAAATCAAAAAATTAGCTGGGCGTGGTAGTGCACGCCTGTATTTCCAGCTACTTGGAAGGCTGAGGCGGAAGGATCACCGGAGCCCAGCAGGTCAAGGCTGCAGCGACTGGGGGCCACTGCACTCCAGTCTGGGTGACAGAGTGAGACTCCAACTCAAAAAAAAGAAAATGGATCTGGGCTCGATGGCCCAGCCTGTAATCCCAGCACTTTGGGAGGCTGAGGCGAGTGGATTGCCTGAGTTGGTGGGTTCGAGACCAGCCTGGGGAACTTGGTGAGATTTTTGTCTCTACAATAAATCAAAAATTAGCCAGGTGTGGTAGCGCACGGCTGTAGTTCTGGCTATTTGGAAGGCTGAGGCAGAAGGATTGCTGGAACCCAGCAAGTCAAAGCTGGGGTAGCCATGAGCATGCCATTGTACTCTAACCTGGGTGATGGAGTGTGACTTCAACTAAAAAAAAAAAGAAAGAAAAGAAAATAGATTTATCTCTTTCATAGGACTGAGCCGGTGTGCTAGTGAGTCTCCGTGAAGGCCTCAAGTGACCCCTGCCTCCTGGAAACCCTTGTATAGAGCACAACATTGTACCAGGGTTGGCCTGGGTAACCAGAAGCATATGGTACAAGTGATGGGGTGTCACTTCTAAAGTCTGTGATTCCCATCTTGGTTATGCTCTTGCTTGCTTGCTGCGTCTCTCTTAGATCCCTAGGTCTGGGGGAAGCCAGCCGCCATGTCCCAAGGACACTCAAGCTGTCCCAGGACGAGGTCCATGTGGTGAAGCACTGAGCCCTCCTGCCAACAACCATGTGAGTGAGCCTGGAAAAGGATTCTCCAGCCCAGTCAAGCCTAGAGATGACTGCAGCCTCAGTTGACAGTTTGACTGCAACCTGACCAACTCTGAGCCAGAACCACCCAGCAAAGTCATTCCCAGATTCCTGGCCCACAAAAACTGTGAGAGACAATACATGTATGTTGTTTTAGGCTTCTGGGGTTTGGGGTAATTTGTTATGTAGCAGTAGATAAGTAATACAGCCAGACATCTTGGGCACTTACGTGGTGTAGTTGTGGCCGGGGAAGTCAATGTTGTTCTTTATGAGAACGGTGAAGTTTTCGGCACTGTTTAAAAGTGCAGGCCTGGGAGAGAGAAATGCAAGATGGCGATCAGTGACTACAGAGACTGAGGGAGTCGGTGGGCCAATAGGACCAGAGACTTCTGGTTTCTGGCTTTGGCTGCTGGGATGAGCAAAGAGAAATGGATTTGGCAATCCAGTGCTCACAATCTTCCAAAATTCTCCATAAAACCTCTCCAGCTTTTCCGAGTATTTCTCCCTTCTTAGATCCAGTGGCATTTACTGCGACTCTTCTCATATTCTGATATAATTGTATGTTTAGGTGTGTACAGTGGTTGGGCCCAGTTTCATATCTAGGACTTTCTGTCTTTAAAGTCTGCTATGTGGTGATGGATGCATTGAATGAATGGTTAAACAAACCATCTTAGCTCATTGGTATAATGAGAAACTGAAGTTCAGGGAGTTGCTTGCCAAAAGTCATGTCAAATGCACACTGGAGACCCGCAATATTTTTCTAATGGATGGGTTGATAGCAGAGGTGGAACTGAGAACTACCGCCAATCAAAGGGCCCCTTGTCTTGAACCAAGGACTACTTGTGTGTAGGTTGTTGTCCCACGCAGAGCTGGGCAATTCCTTCTGTAACAAAGAAACCGTGACCTAGAAATGAACCTGGGTAGATCCATTAATGATTGAGGGCCCGAGAGGGTGACCCTGCCTAGTAATCCCATCCTGACATCAGGGAACCTTTGCCTTCCACAAGCTAGGTTGGGACAGTTTTCTTGTTGCCCGTCAGATGTTGAGAGAGTGGTCTTGAGTCACATTGCTCTGGAACTGCGCTGTCCAAGAGGGTAGTCACCAGGCATGTGTGGCTATTTATGTTTACATTTAATTAAATTAAGAATTCAGTGGCTCAGTTGCAGTAGCCGCATTTCAAGTGCTCAATAGTCACATGTAGCTAGTGGTCATCATATTGGACAGTGCAGGTATAGAGCATTTCTGTCTCGCAGAAAGTTCTGTCGGACAGTGCTGGTCTAGAATTACCCTCTACTTCTGGGGCAGATTGTACGTGTGTGCATGTGCGTGTGTTTGTGTATAAACCAAGCATGGGTCTCCCTTTACAATAGCTGTACAAATATCTCATTTAATCCTTGCAGCAGCCCTATGAGGTAGGTGAAATTATTCTCATTTTATTACAGATGAGGACACTAAAGCTCAGAAAGGTGAAGCCATTTGCCCAAGGTCACAGAGCAAAGATGTGTTAGAGCTAGGATTTAATTTCGGGTCTTTCTAAGGGCTTCTGAGATTTGACATCCTGACCGTATGCAGAAGAAAATAATCATTACAAGGGACCACCAAATCTGCATGTCACAGTGAGCTTTTACAAAAACTTCCCCCCACCACTTTCTCCTCTCCCCCATCTCTCCTTCCTTCCCCTCTCCCTTCTTTCTCTCACCTTTCCCTTCCTTTTTCATTTCTTCTTCCTTCCCTTCCATCTCATTCCTTCCTTCCTATCTTTTTTTTTTTGAGTTGGAGTCTCACTCGGTCGCCCAGACTGCAGTGCGGTGGCCGGGAGCGGGCCTCGACCTGCTGGGCTCCGGCGATCCTTCCGCCTCAGCCTTCCAAGTAGTTGGAACTACAGGCGCGCGCTACCACACCCGGCTGATTTTTTAATTTATTGTAGAGATGAGGGCTCACCAAGTTGCCCAGGCAGGTCTCGAACCTGAGGGCTCAGGCAATTCGCTCACCTCGGCCTCCCAAAGCGCTGGTATTACAGGCTGAGTCACCGAGCCCGGCTCTTCCTTCCTATCTTAATCACTCAGTGTGGACACTGACCAGCCAGAATGGGCCCTTCCATGGCACTAAGAAAGGGTCTGGAGGTGCCCTGGGAGATGCTGAGATAGCCAAGGGCAAGCGGTGCCCAGTAGTGCTCAGCCACTAGTTATTTACCAGCTGGTACAGAATTATTACAATATTTCAACAACTAGCATGGCCCTCCCAGAGACGCCAGTTTGTGCCAAGCAATGTACCTGGCTTGGGGGTCTTGAAGCAGGTAAGACCCCAGGACTTGGTCACCGCAAAGGGGAAAGTCCAGGCAGCCCCAGCAAGGCCTCATCTGGTTACTGCTGAGGGCCACCATGTCTGTTCCCACATGCAACTCACCGGGGGGCCTCTTCCGCTGCCTCAATGGGACACCAGGCAGAGACTTCACAGGTCTTCTGGTTCCCTTTATACACTATGCACTTTCCAGTCTGGATTCCTATGGGGGGCAGTCAAGGGGTTGTAGAACCACAGATGTGAAAGAACTGTGGAGAGGAAGTTCTCCAGGAAGAGCATCATTCATTTAACTCAAGCAAGAGACGAGGCTTTTCAATAAACCAAGCAGCTTCAGCTTCCATGAACCCCCATCCTGAGCACAAATGTACACAGGGTGAAACAAACATGCAGAACATTCATTAAACAGTATGCTTTTTAGAAAAGGATCCAAGAGGGCACAGAAAGACTGTGGGCTCTGTTGGCTCTTTTGATATCTTTACAAGAAAAAGATGACTGAGAGGGGAGTTGAGTCTGGTATAAATGGACCAGAACGTCCTTCTCAAAGGGGCATCCGAGTCCTTCAAAGGGCACACTGCCTGTCAAGGATGTGCAAAGTCATAGGATAAACATGGTGCATCTTCCTGGAGTGTGTGGAAAATTAACCGATTTCCAAGGAAGAATTCGCTAAATAATGAACAATGCTAAGATAACCATCATTCCAACTCAAATATACACATATTTCAGAATGGAATGCAATGCTCATATACTTTTGTGTGTGTGTGCATTATAGCCACTGATGGTATTTTCCTTTTTGTGTTTTTTTTTTTTTTTTGAGTTGGGGTCTCACTCCGTCGCCCAGACTGGAGTGCAGTGGCTGCTCCCGGCCACCACAGCCTCGACCCGCTGGGCTCCGACGATCCTTCCGCCTCAGCCTTCCAAGTAGCTGGAACTACAGGTGTGCACTACCACACCAGGCTAATTTTTTTTTTTTGATTTATTGTAGAGATGAGGTCTCACCAAGTTGCCCAGGCGGGTCTCGAACCTGCGGGCTCAGGCAATCCATTCACCTCAGCCTCCGAAGGCACGGGATTACAGGCTGAGCCACAGAGCCCGGCTGATTTTTTTATTTATTGTAGAGATGAGATCTCGCCAAGTTGCCCAGGCAGGTCTCGAACCCGCAGGCTCAGGCAATCCACTCACCTCAGCCTCCCAAAGTGCGGGATTACAGGCTGAGCCACCGAGCCCGGCTACGTGCCTTTTTAAGTTAAAACATGAGGTAAGGAAATTCTGCCAGTTGATATGGGTATTGCTTCCCAGGTTGTACAATTTCATGGTCCTCAACCTTTGGAGAAATTCAGGAGAAAGCTTAAAATACTCAGATGATGCTGTGGGAATTCTGATTTTTCTACCAATTAGAACTTTGAACCTGCTAAGTTTTCAGGAACTCCTCTCACTGGGAAACTGGAGACACATTCACGGTTGGCAGCTGGTCTGCTGGGGACAGAGCCACGGCACAAGACACACAGGCTCATCAATGGCTTGGTGATGGTGGAAAAAGACAGCTGAGAGCCAGAGGCCAAAGACCTGAACTGGGCATCACCTGTGCCACCAGGATGCCAGACCACCCACCTCCAGGGTCTCAGGAAAAGAAACAGAAGTTACCTTTGCTCTGCGGATCCATCCATCCCTTTTTACAACTCTTGTCAGAGTGACAGAGTGTCCTGCGGGTGGGATACTGTAGGGAGAAGGACAGGAGAGTGGGGAGTCAACGACGTGTGTCACTAAGATACAAAGAAGCAATGGCAGTGTCCACACAAAACATGTACACAAATGTTCACAGCAGCGCTACTCAGAGCAGTAAAAATGGAAACAACCCAAATGTCCGTTGATGAATGAATGTACAAATAAAATGTGGTCCATTGACATACAGAACCTCACACAGTCATCAAAAGGAATGAAGCACTGATCCATGCTAACATGTATGAACTTTGAAAACATGATGCTGAATGAAAGAAGCCAGACACAAAAGGTCATGAATTGTAGGGTCCCATTTATATGAAATGTCCAGAATAGGCAAATCTGTACAGACAGAAAGCAGATTGGTGGTTGCCAGGGGCCAGGGAAAGGGGAGAATGGGGAATGACTGCTCATGGGCTTAGGGTTTCCTTTTGGGGTGATGGAAATGTTCTGGAATTAGATAGTGGTGATGGCTGCATAGCCCTGTGAATATACTAAAAAAGCATTGGATTACAAGGGGGAACCTAAAAAAACCTGGAATTACTTTTTGGAGGGCAAGCCCCTTGTAGTACAGACCTCCCTTTCTAAGTAAGTGTTCTAGGAACTCGTCAGCATCAGTGTACCAGCTAGCGTTGTTTTAAGAGGCTGCGTTTGACTTCAGTGAATTTTTTTGGAGATTCTTTCAACACATTTGCCCCTTTCATGATGGGTGATTTATGAGTGCACCTGCCCAGACCATGTGCTCAGCAGTTTTTTACCAAAAAAGGTATGACTCCCATGCCCCACCCTCTCTATTCACCTGATCTCAACCTGAGTGACTTTGTTTCCCCAGATGACAAAAAGTCCTCAAACGGAAATGTTTTGCCAATGTGGAAGAGGTGAAACAAAAAATAGCAGAAGCGCTAAAAGGCATCAAAATTCATATGTTCAAAAACTTTGGAGCAGTGGAAAAAAGCGTCTCAAAAGGTGTATTGCATCAAACAGAGCCTGCTTTGAAGGTGACTAAAGTTTAAACATGTAGGAATAAATACACAATTTTTTAATAAATAAATTTCTGGGATTTTTTGAGATTCCCCTCATGTGCACTTTAAAATGTTGGATTTTATGGTATGTGAATTACATTCCAATAAAAAATAAAAGTAAAAATTTGAAAGCAAAGGTCTGGGTAGTCGGAGAACACTTTCAGGCATAGCCTTTGAGTTGAAGGACAGGTAGGTAGCCTGGTCCAAATGGCCCTGTGGCTACAGGACTGAGCAGTGCAGAGATTCAGCAGGACATGTGGAACTGGGGGACGTTGGCCAGCATGCTCTCCTGGTCTGAGAAAATGAGGCCAGCCAGGTCTCAGGGCTAAAGGGCGGAGTAAGGAAAAGAGAAGTGAGATGACTTTGTTGATGCATATTTGACTTCCCATTTCCTGGGGAGCAGGCCTAAAGGCCAGTCTTGGGGAAACCAGTACATGACACAGGGATGAAAACAGCCACTGCTCCTTGTCTTCTGTGTAACTTGTGTCTTTTACAGCAATTCAAGGCAAGGGCTCAGGTCTTTGATCCAAGTACACCTGGGTTCCATGATGCTGTACCATTTTCTAGCTGAGTGACCTCAGTCAAGTCACTTTACCTCTCTGAGACTCAGCTTCCTCATCTGTAAAAGGAGGATGAATAGATTCGTCTTGTATGGTTTTTGCAAAGATAAAATGAGTTATGGAAAGAAAGAATAGTTCATACTTCAAAGGACATAAGACCGAGTTGATATACCCAAGAAACATTTTTTGTTTGTTTGTTTGAGTTAGAGTCTCACTCTGTTGCCCAGACTGGAGTGCAGTGGCCGCTCCCGGCCACAGCAGCCTCGACCTGCTGGGTTCTGGCAATCCTTCTGCCTCAGCCTTCCGAGTAGCTGGAACTACAGGCGCGCGCTACCACGCCCGGCTAATTTTTTGATTTATTGTAGAGATGAGGTCTCGCCAAGTTGCCCAGGCGGGTCTCAAACCCGCGGGCTCAGGCAATCCACTCACCTCAGCCTCCCAAAGCGCGGGATTACAGGCTGAGCCATTGAGCCCGGCATAAGGAGCAGCCATTTTTAACATTGCTTAACTGTATCATGTTTTTCTAGCATTTCACTTTAACTTACTCTCTAATCATTAGCCAAGGACAGAATCGTTTTCTCAGAGGTAGCGAATGACAATTGTTTTACAAACCCCTCCCCAGCCTGGTTTTTAAACAAGTTAACCTAATCAGCCCTTTGTGACCTTCATGACACAGACCCTATGGCATGGCAGCAGTCATGTGACTGACTCACCCATCTGCCTGCTGTCCATCACCTTTCATTATGACATGGAGTAGACCACCACTCAATCACCTTAATGACCTGCCCCCATCAAAGTGAACGTTTAAAAGCATTCAACCTGAAGCAGCCATTGGCCATTGCTTTACCAAACTCTGGTGTGGCCACGTGCCCTTTGAGCTATGACTGCTGCCATGTTTCCTAAGCCTCGGCACCCCCGTACCATGGGAAGGTGAATCTCCTCTCTCTTCTCTCTCTCTAATTTACTTTCTAAATAAATTATATTTTCTAATCCAATTTCTGTGCAATTCTTTGCATCTTTCACGTGGCACCAGATCACAGACCAGATACCCCATAGGGCCTGATCTAACATTTGGAGGACCTACTGGGATATATTTTTAACTTAACAATACTCAATGAGCATTTTTCTCATAGTTTTCAAACTCTCTCATGATCTAATTTCTTCCTAGGCTGCCTTCCTCTTGTCACCCAGCAATGTCCCTGGTCTCCTCCCCTTATGACCCCCTAAATTAGATTATGAACCCTTTGAACACAGAGCCTGAGTCATATCTTTATGGCCCAAGTGCCTGACAGATAGTAGGTCTTGATAAACATGGAATGCAGAATGAATGAATGAATGAGTGATCATTTACTGTGACTTATGGAAAGTGATATCATTGTCATTATCAACTGGAAGGAAATCTCAGGAAAGAAACCAATTTTATTTTTCTCCTCAAAATAAATTCTAAAATTAAAAAAAGAAAACACAAAAACTAGTTTTGTTTTAATCATCTCTTTTGTGATTGCTGCATGGATTAAAGATTCTTGGTCACTCTCCTCATTAAGAAGTGGAGTGTTTCTTCTGGATTTTGAAGTTGGGCCAGTACTGTGACTGAATAATCAACAAAAGTGGAAGTAATGCTGTACCAGCTCCAGGCTTAAGCCTTAAGAAGGTCTAGAAGCCGGGCTCGGTGGCTCAGCCTGTAATCCCGCGCCTTTGGGAGGCTGAGGTGAGTGGATTGCCTGAGCCCGCGGGTTCAAGACCCGCCTGGGCAGCGAGACCTCATCTCTACAATAAATCAAAAAAAT